GTATTCGTTAAACCCAACTATTAGACAAAGGCAAGTTAACACTGTTCCTAGATAATAATTTTATCTAACATATGTATCCACAAACAATCAATTACTTTTGCCAATATAGATTGTTATTAACATTTTTCGATAGACTTCTGTTGAGGCAGAATTTTTTTTTATCAAGTATAGCTTGGGTTCCATTAATTCAAGTAAAATCTATCCTCATGATCTGTGTTAGCTGGGTCGTAAATAAAGTAAGAAACCACAAAAGTATCAGAAGATGTTTCGATGTCATGGTAACCAATTGAAACGGATTGATGCGGCAGACATTTTCAAGACATAGAGACATATATGTATGGTGGTCAATTAATACATTTTCGTACATGTGGATGGTCTAAGGGCATTGTCACAATGGACTGTTTTGACAACTGGGTCTAGTCATTGTTTGTACAATTGTTTTGCAATTCATCAGACATAGTTTGGCCAACTGGATAAACATTTCGGTGAGAGGGAGTGAACATTTTCATTTGATTCTTTTCCGTCAAGCAGAGCACAATCCTTCCAACAATCCTTCCAGATAACAAATATAAACCTATTCGATGCTTTGTAGTGTTACATTTTTCAGCCCAAAATCAGCTTTTAAAAACAATAGTAACAATATTTTTTTTTTATTCAGCAACATGTCGCTTTAATTTGAATCGCTTTAATTTAAAGCCTAACAATGAGTTTTAGAATCTTAAAGAAATAACATTACATTACAAATTATTTTATATATACCATACATACTACAATAAAGTACAAAATGAATTGTAAATTATTTTACGTGACCTCTGAATAAGTAGCCAGGGCTTATTACCAGATATCACTGCGCATAATTGAATCAAACAGGATAATCTTTAGGAAAGAAGGATGGCAGATCCATCATTCCGTTTCAGTATAGAAACAGTATTGATGTACAGAATAATCTTTAGGAAAAAAGGATGGCAGGTCCATCATTCCGTTTCAATCTAGAAACAGTATTGATGTACAGTATTGCTTATTAGATTCGTGTATCGTGTGATACATTCTTCGATCGAGACAGTGTCGTAATTAGTGGTCGTAATTAGTAATATAGAAAATTAAAATTGAATTCGAAAAATTTAATTCAAAAATGCAATATTTTTTATTTTTTTATTTATGAAAAATGCAGTTCAATTTGATGATCCATTTTTAACTTTTTGTAATAGTTTGTAAACTTATTTTTATATAACGAACTCTAATTAATAATCGCTTTATTGAAGCTCCGCATATGTAGTTAATTTTCTGACATTAAAAATTTATCATATGCAGTTTATTCTAAACTTCAAGTTATAAAGTTTTTTAGTTAGTTTTTTGTGAAACACTCTAATATCTGGTATTATTAAAAATTTTGGATTTGTGACTTTACCACAACCCCTGCTGCAGAGCTGCAATTATTAAATGGCGCCGAAAACAAATCCTACTGCCAGGATAACACACGACATGCACTAATGCATACTATTGTAATATTTAACATAATAAAGTATGTGTGATGTTGTCTTGTGTTGAATGTTAGATAATAGCTCCGTGCTCATGTATTTGTGTGTATCTCAAAACCACCAAAAACACGCACACTAACTTTCTAACACCAACACACTGATAACTTAGGCTAATTAAAGTTTGACTTGTCGTTTTCGTGGATTTACATAAAATTTTCGGGCTTTACGCAAAATAGACAAAGTCAAAAATACACCAAAATACAAATACTGCGACAGACACACACTTGATATGCATGCGTATACATGAAATGCTTGTCTACTCGTAGATGTAGATTTGTATCTGTGCATCTATGCATAACAGTACTGCCAGTGTTGGTTAGTTGCAGGCGCACATATGACACTTGTATCGTTCGTTGTCATGTTGTCTGCTTGTTCTTATTGTGCAGTGTTGTGCAGTGTTGTGTTGTGTTGCTTTGAGTTTGTGTGTTTGGTATAGGAGTTTGGCAGTCCTTTCTATAGATGTACTCGTATGTATGCTTGCTGATATGGTGGTTTCTGTTTCCCCTTCTGTTCCCCTGCGCTTTAACAAATTTTATGTGCTTAAATTAGTTTGCGTTTTGCTGCGGGTATTAAGTAAGATTTGTGGGATTTTCAATGTAAAGCTGAGTCAAATTTACAAGCGGCAAACGTTGCATGATACAGATGTACTGATTATTGTTTTTTTTTTTTTGTGTTGCTAACAGCAACTATCAGCAGTTTTTTCAAAATTCAAACATTTTGAATATTATTAAACATCAAGTAATACACAAAAAGTTTTTTAATTGCTTAGAATGCTTTAAAAGAACCAATTTACTAAACATTTCAAGCAGTTGCGTAAAAGCGAAGTACATAAGCATACAAAACTATCACAGGGCACTACAGGTTTTAGAGCCCCTCAAAAATACAAATATTAGGAATATTCATTCAAAAATAATTCACTAATAAAATAATTCAATAATATGACTTAAAGCTGATTTTAAAATAAAATGACAAAAATTCTAATGAGTTTATCTTAACTTAAATAGAAGTTGGTTTATTACAATTACCATTACATCTTACAAATGACGTCTTTCATTTATGGCAGTTGTAATAATATTGCGAAAAATTTTAAGTAAACATACCTTATGTATTTTGAACAGGGTAGCCATTGTGTCGTTAATTAAAAATGTAAAATCTTTAACGCTTTCACTAATGATAATACATAGACTATTGAGGAAGGGGCATCCCAGAGTTAATATGTATAATAAGACGAGCGCTAGATATATGAATATGTGCACTTTTCTTTACAACAATACTTATTGAAAGCACCGAACCGGCCTGTGAGTCTGCCTATTAGACAGTATCATGTGGGTATGACAATTATATTAAACAATAAATATTCAACTGCTCATTTCTTCTCTAACTGTAATCTAGCTGTGCTATGTTTCTTATCTAGAGCGTTAAACTCGTAGCTAGTAAAATAATGATATCTAATATACATAATCTGACGTAGGAGTACAATTTTTACGCTTTCCAACACATTTCATTCATATAGCCAATTTAACTTAACTATAGAAAGCTGATGCCGGCATCTAAAAGTTGATGTAATGGAACATCGTTTATTGCTCTCAATCAGTTTGTCATTTCAAACCTATAATTGTTAAAAATACGAGTATGGAAAGTGGCAGAAAAGATTCAAATGTTAAGTAAATCACTTATAAACCCATATAAACCCATCCATACAAAAAAAAGCATCAATATTATTTAAGTCAGTTCAGTATATATGAGAATTTTTCCACCATATGAACTGTGTTTGCTACATGACCAACATGATTAAATCACGGAGCCCTATGTAATATATGAAGAACGCAACCTATCTCTCATAGTACCAAAATTAAAGTCTTCAACTCAAAATAAGGCAATGGTCATACGTTTCACAAACATGAACTATGGACTGAAATTTTTAAAACAAATTTCTGAAATAAAGGATATAAAAAAATAAAATTATAATTTCTAGAACAATGATATCTTAGCTTTGTGTGTTTGCAGTAAGAAATATGTGGATATTAAATGGATGGATGCTTCTTTTCAACAATATTATACTTGTTGTAATATCAGGTACATTGCACGCAAAGCTATATTGTAAAAATCTGAAAACTTTATTTAAAGTTTTGCATCCAAGTAATAATGTAATGTGATGTAGTATGAGTAATATTTTTCCAAACCACAAATTGTAACGCAATGTTGTGTCAATTTTCCTTAAAACATCGTACACATTACATAAACGTTTGTATTTATAAAATCCGCTTAGCTATTCGCGTTTACAATTACAAACTCTATTAGACATAAATCTGCTTAATCTTCTAAATCAGTTCGTGTCAATAATCATGAAATTTATTATGCTTACGTTTTAAATCAATTACTTGTAGTTACATTTGAGGATTAAGTGACATGCTTCAAACAACCACGCTTCAGGAGCAGTAAAAGCAACTGCAGCTGCCATTGCCATTGCCATTGCAATTGCAATCGCTACAGCATTGGCAATAGTAATTCAATACTCGTACGTGCAAGAATGGATAATAAATACTCAAACCCAAACACGAACTCAGTGCAGATGCGATATTTGAACTTTGGATTTGGAATTGATTTTCTGCATTAATCTTAATATCATCGCATCTACATATGTTTTATGTTTACTTATTTATGCATATCATTAATTTCCGTTGAATTTATTGTCTGTACAATTTATCATAAAGCAAATGCATTAAATATCAACACACAACATTTAGTGATTAAAATTAATTGGTAATTTACTAAATGTCATGCCGTTACCTTGACTAATAAGAGAGAGATTAGCGAAATCAATTAAGATTATCCATTCTATTTTTTAAAAAACTTCTAAGTGAATTAACTTTACTAGTAAGTAAAGTTCGTATAACAAACCCACTGCAAGTAATTTTTTTTAATTATTCATCAAAATTTGTTATCTCTAAATTTTTAATTCTTAAATAAATTAAAAAAAAATAGGTATATAAGATTTTGTTATTCAATCAACGCATATATATATAAATGATTATTCAAAATTTATCTTTTGGTTATAATAATAAATTTTTCATATTATATATAAGCGAATTAGGTACGATATAGGAGTCTCCCGAAATTCAATGCCATTGCACATTCATACACAAGATAA